AATTAAGTTGGGAATAATAGGAGATAGGTTGGTAATGGGGGTTGGGATGGGAATAAGAGAAACAAGTGGAAAAGAAAGAAGGGAGGTACCAGCAGCAGTGAGTTTTTGACTATCCGCAGCAGATAAGGCGACCCTTGGTGAGCAGCACAACGCTCGATACAGGATGTAATTAACGTTTGAGGAAATAGCCAATGCGATTCCCACTACATCTATTCGCTTGAAAACAACGAAGCGACATAGCTAATCGCGCTTCTTCATGAAACCGCAGAGTTAGGTGAAAAGTATACGCAGGCCGCGGTAGGAACTACCACGGCGTGAGCGACCGATGTATCCAAATTCGCGTTCGCGTTGTAAACACCAGAAAAATTGGCAATATGTCGGTTGGTTTCTTCTTCCCCAGTTCGCTGCTTTAGCTCGATGACAGCCCAGCTGGGACGCTCACGGTCAGGTGGAATCAAATCCGGACGAATATGCACCCTTTGGCTCCTCAGCCTACCCAGCGGACACAGTATTAGCATCGGGGTGGCCTCGTCAGCAAAAGTTACCCGCATAAGCCGGTGCTTTTCAGCAATTCTTTTGCCGAGGAGGATGACTTGCTTCAGTTTCACTCCGTCCTCACCCACCTCGAGGAGTCTGTCAACCAGATTCTGCAAAAAAACTCTACATCATCACCATAGTGTGCCTACGGGCTTAGATAACTGGAGTCAGTTGCGTGGAAAAGAAGTGGAGTCGGTCGCTTTTTGTCAATCGACGTGGTTCCTGCGGAAGGATGGCTACCTTGAGCTTTGCTTGCCCCCGGCCTATTGTTGGTCCGTAGCCGGAAGTTTCCCTTCGTTTCGTGGCTTCTGTTGTCAAGTTTATCATGGCTCCTCAGCCGTTAGACATTCGTTTGCTTCTTCAAAGCTAGCAGAGCACAAAGTCAGTGAATCACTACCCTCAGCAGGTATGGTGCTTCTGGGAAAATTAGGATTGCGATGTAATGTATTATCAGGAGAAGAAGAATGGAAGGAAGGCTGGGTTGAACCTTGGGTGGATTCTAGGCTAGTTTGCTGGACGGTAAATCTAGAACTGTTCACGGTTAAATGCCTTTGGTCACGAGCTGCATCGGTGGACATTATACATCTCTCTGGTTGCTTTAGACTTCGGCAGTTGTTGCATAAAATCCGAATGAAATATTGATTTGAACGGAAAAGACCATGGGGATGAGCAGATAATCTAGCACACGAAATTTCAGGTCTAGCACAGCAATCTAAGCGCGTAAAGACAATTGCCTTATTTCCAACAATTGTCGAACAAGAACCACAAGTGATTTCCTCGGCATTTTGGAAGTATGTCGTAAAAGTGACGTGACACAATATTGGAAAGATATCACAGAAAATATGATCCAGAAAGTGTAAATTCAGAAATCACACTGAATGGTGCCGAAAGTTCCACAAAGTAAATTAAATATGCCGGTGAATCCTGAAAACGCAGCAAGCGGAGGTCGCTAAACGCAGGGAGCGGTGATCAACCATTACTATATATGGCGTGACCAAATCAAGTAAGCGACAAAATGATAGTTACGAAAGTTTACGGCGAGTCTAGTGTCCAGTCACAAACTGGTACACAAAACAACCATTGGTTAAAGCAATAGATGGAAGTATGCGAAAGACAGTAAACATGATAAAGGGTGCAGTACATCACATCAAGAGTATTCGGTGCGGATACATGGAAAACACTTTTACGATATGTACCAGAATGCTAGAAAAAGAACAACGGCAAAAAGATCCAATAAGTGAACTCATTGGGTTATTCAGACTTGAAACAAAACAACGCGCTTCCTGATAAAGAAAGCAGAGGAATTTCGATGATAAGCAACGACGGAGGATCCATTTTCATAACTATATTTGGTTAGCGGCACCCGGTTTCGGATTTGCCTGTCACTGTGGCCAGACACAGGAAGCCTGCGCTTACAGAGGGACCATGGATGGCTTGCGCTGCACCACCCACAGCTCCATCCACACACCCCAGTGTAAAGCCGAGGGAATAAGACCGAGAGGCATGTGCATCGGAGACACGTTTCATCAACGGAGCCGGCCCACACTCCTTCACAGGCGAACACAAGCACACTGTATTTGGGGAATCAAGCGCACACAAGGCGGTGGTTGGACCGTAGTCCGCTCCACACTGAGTGCATGGAACCACTCTTCGAGCCTAGCACGGTCACAAGGACCGTGCACCCCGTCCCCTCCAGCAACGACCAACTGTCTCCTAGAGCCAGTATGGACGAGGTAGTGGGTAATAGAGAGGTAAGCACCTTGTCAACAGGCATATCAAGCGCAGCCACACTAGGGATGTCAAACAACAGCCAATCATTTGAAACGACAAGATGAAGTAAAATAAATCCAATAATGCATACAGATACGGTGGCATAACTCTTCGCGAAATTACCATATGAAGTTTGTTAGCAATAAATCCGCGAGAAGGAAAGAATGTCCACAAGTTACTTAAAATTGCTACAAACGCAACAAAGTTACCGAAGATAAACGCAATCAGCGTAAGCAACGTGGCCAGTTAATAGAAGATTATTCAAGTAGGCGAAACAAACCAAATAAAGTGGAATGAAATGTATCCAACGTAAGCAGACCTAGTTTAAGTGTAAGTTGGTTTAGGCCAACTGCGGTGAAGAAGCATCAGGAACGCAACAACAGCCTCAGCATGGTATATATATATATATATATATATATATATATATATATATATATATATATATGCATTATTTGAAATGCAAAACAAGCTAATGATGGCGATATGGGATTCGGCGGAAGCAGTAGGTGAGAATCATGCACGCGGAGCGCGTAAAGATGATGAGAATGAAGTGCATTGTAGCGCCCCGAGAACTATACAGCTTGACCAGATGAACGAGGGAATGGAAAGATTTGCAAAAGCCCAGAATTAAGCGTAATAGAGTGGCAACTCCGCGGCAACGAAATTGGATAGAACAGCTGACTCAGATTGGGGGAACGGTAGGTAGTTGTCAGGCGCGTAGGGAAACACACCAGTTTGCCAGAGCGCAACTACCATGGTGGACAATCAGGGTGAGATCGTCTGTAGCCTCAAGCACACATGAGGACAAGCTGTGAACAAGTCCGCAACCCACATAGAGCGATAAGAGATGGCAACTATGCGTAAACACGCTAAAAATAACGATCGCTAAGGGAACAACCTGGTATCTTTGACTTACGTCCAGAATACTACTGCCCTTTTGAGAACATCAATCTTCAGGCCTAGACGTTAGTCTTAATCATCCCATTTGTACGTAGTGTGGCAAAACGCCTAGGACGTACGATCAGACGACTAACAAACTGCCGTATGATAGAGCACTGCTCTTCTCTGCCTATGCGACATGATGCGGTTAAGATGTTCGTAGTTCCAGTACTGAAGCAAGTGTACCACATCGAACAGTAAGTAATAACTAAACACCGGCACTATGGTGACAAGAGGCTGCACTTGGGGGATTCAAAGAGCTGGAACTATCGCAGTCAACGGACAGCAACCGGGACTTTACAAAGCTCATTGATGCAAACCGTTAGATTGGTGGCTGATGACAATCTGCATGCATCGGTCATTGATCACTGCGTCCAAAGAGGATCCACAGCACTTTCCACTACTCCGGACAGACAACCAGACTCCACAAACGAACATGTGATTCGCAGTTGCACACAGTTTATCGAAACGAAATCGCTTCGTAAGAAAGTATTCAATAAAAATGCACGACAAGATTGTCTGAAGTGCTGGCTGCACACACAGCGTATCGTAGAGGCTCAGATTGGCCAGAGAGAAAGAGCAAGTGCACCAATGTTGGACGTCATCCGCGTCCTACCTACTCAATGTCCGGATTCGTGATTGCTTGCATTACTCAGGTGGTGTACTTTCCTACTTCGGGGCTCAAGCTAAGCAAGTAATGGTTACTGGTTGATACTTTGATAATATGACGACTGAACCTCTCAAGCAATAGAGGGCACGAATATTATGGACTAAGCATCGAGTTTCACGATGTGGTGGGCCAAAAGTAGGTGCTACTGCGCCAAGTATCAATAGGAAATAGAAAAAGGACAGTAACGGATCAAAACAACACCCCAACAGAGGATGAAGGTTTGGAAGCCGCAGATGTATGCGCGCTGGGAGGAGGTGGAGAAGCAAGGTGCGCCACGAAACCTCAAGGAGGTAGTTTGTGGATGGGAAGAGAGGGTGATGGTCAGAGCCAATGCGTATGGTTGATGATACCTGGCACAATTAGTAACTCCTTTCGCACACTAGATTAGCGCAATAAGATGCTGGTTGTGTGAATGAATGTTGGCAAGCAGTCGCAGTTTCGATCGCGAACTACATTGAAACGGACAAAAATCAGGCCGGTTGCTTCAAACATTTCACTTCAGGACTGACTTTGCCCACTTCTTAAGTACCAATAGTGGAACTGCGACTCGAACAAAAGAATGAAAAACACCCTTAGAACTACCGTCGAGATGTGAAGTGCACGAGACAAAACGCATATTTTAATTATTGTTAGCGCGAGGTGCGCACAGGTGGTCGATCCACTGAGGCTTGCCCTCACTGAGCAACACAGATTGTCGCCATTTCTCTTTCTTCAAACCGTCGAGCCAAATGGAGTATGCGGCGATTGTGTCAGTGAAGGCCAAAGCCATAGTAAAGTTGAAATTTTGATTAGTGTTGATGAGGTCATTCTCGTGGAGTCTGATCAAGAAGACGAAAGGTGGACGCCGGTGTTATGGGAAAGATGTAATTGAAACAGCGATGGATGGCGTTGTGAACGAAGAAAGAGACGTCAGAAGAGGGATAGGTTATAGACTACCACAGTGTCATAATAGTGGCTGTAAACAGATACCAGCTTTCAGCAGCGTGTTCGGCCTAGAGGTACAGCGATAGGTTACGCAAAACAAAGGGTTTACACACGTAGACACGTGTGCAAGGAACGAGACTTGTACGAAAGGAAGGCTTACCTGTGAGGCATCGCTCGTCCCGGAGGAGGAAGACGGAGGAAGTTGTTGGGATGGGATGTTCACCGTCGACCGCTTACGATGGTTCGCTGGCACCGACAAGAATTCCAACAAGTGATTGAGCAAGTTGGCGACCAACTGGTAGTCGATTTCAACCACTGTGCTGTTGCTCGGTGTGCTCGTTTCTGGAAGGTGTCGAGATTCAGGGCTATCGGCTTCGACAACGCCAGGATGCTCGCGTTCGATTCGCCAGAGATCCAAATCACATAAGAGGTCCTCAAACGCTGGATGGTCGAGCAATGTATATGCCTGAGGACGAAGTGAGTAGGAAAGAAAGAGAGTATATTCAGGTAAAGTGAAGCAGAACGAAGTTAGGATAGCTGGACATCGGAGTTAAGAAGAAAGCTAGTAAAATTAATCAACGGGGAATATTAACAGCAAGATGAAAGAAACGGAATGTGGCAACGCCGCTGTCTGCGCGACTTCTCAATGTGTGGTAAGGTCTCCTAAGCCCCGAGGTGGCACATCCAAAGGTCGGCATCCTCGAAGACGGCACGCTCCAGCCTGAGCAAGTCGCTTGGTCAAAAGGTTCATATCGTTGTGTCACCGCGTCAGAAAGCGGCCGCGTCATGTTTTTGCCCAATCTGTTGCAGCGCGAGGAAGACGGTCGAGGTAATGCGGGAGACATGGTCTAGCGACCCTTGCCGGTACAAGTGTGGTAGATACTCCCGTGTTGCACCAAAGGTAGTTTCCAAGTGCCATCCGGTGAATTTTAGTAGTGCCAACAGGTGATCCCGTTAGATGCGAGTAAAAACGACCAATTTTGCAACTATTTCAGCATGCGGTGGTTATACTCCTGAGTAACACAGTCACCCATATCTGCGAATATCCCACTACCGTGGAAAATGAATGAGTCATTGGAAAAGCCCAAGGATTTGGCTGATATGTGACGGTAGCCACTCAAGAGATTTAATCACCAAAGGTGAGCTAGTTGAGAGAAGAGTGAACCAAATGGACAAATCAAGTAGTTAGTCGGATTTAAGTAAGAACTGCTGGTGATTTGGTGAATTTCTGAAGCAGTATTTATCTGTCAGCAACTCAGCACAACGCCAGGTCCACAAGATTAAGGACTAAAGCTTTGGTGCGCTACTAAGTAATATTAATAGTATGCATCTTTCTCTTGACGAGAGAAACTGTGTCTAGAGCGGCTCAGATCCTTTTGTACAGAAGAATCCATACTCTTGCATGGGTGACATGCATAGGTGGAGTATTGGGATATGCGTTTCATGTATTAACATTCTGCCGGATGGTTGAGGCCAAAGCCTAGTTATGAAAACATTGGTGTTTATATGTTTTTGGGCCCCTCTTGGAATAGCTCATTGAGGAATTTTTCCCATGTGAATTTAGAGATTAGGGTAGTTAAAGCAAGGTAATTGGCGAGTCTGCTACTAAATGTTGTCACTTTGTCATATGACCTGTGTGTTATTAGTAGTTTATTCCACAGATAGCTGTATCTGACCAGGAAGAAATTAGAGCGGACGTTCGTTCTAGCCTTTCGGTATACTCAATGTAAAATCGTTGTTGTGAAGCCCTCTAGTTGAACAATGTTGTACAATGAGTGTAGGCAGGTTGGACTAGGTCTTTTTGTGTAACATGTTGAAAAGCGGCATCAAGTTGTGCTTCGATCGTCGAATCCAAAGTGGTTCCAGATGAAGTACATTGCAACCTTCACGATAACTCATAGCAGAGTGATTACCAATCAGATGTTTAGCAAATGACCTCTGCAGGTTCTCCACAGCAACTCTGTCACTCATTCTCATATTACCAGTATATTATGGTACAGTATTCGAGGATGGGGCGAGTGAGTAGCTTGAAAAGCTCAACTCTAGCACGAGTTGTGTGTATTTTGTTTGATATATTGAACATAGACTGTCTGGCACGTGCTACTTGATACTGATCCTGTTCGGAGAAATTGAAGGTAGACGAGTACCTAATGCTAAAATCTCGCGTGGACAACTGTGTAGGGACGCGTTCGTTATTCAAGATGATAGATCCCTTGGGGATACAGCAGCCGTAAGACGTGATGCTTGATTCCTTAGCCGAGAGGTTCATCACCCATGTGCAGCAATCATGACTCAAGGGAATGTAAATCATTTTGAATGAGCAATAATGTCCCGTGAAGCTCGTCACGCCAAAACTTATAAACAAGTTTGATATCATCAGTAAATAAAAATGATGTATCATGTTTTACAGATGTAGTGATGTCATTGATGTAAGGGGCCGAGCACGCTCCTTTGAATGACCGCACATGGGATTGAGCGTGGGGAAGAGCGACAATCACCTAAAGTGACTACCTGATGACAATCACTTAGGTAGGACGACAGCCAATCTAGTAATGGGTCCCGGGTTCCAAACTACTCCAACTTTTTGTAGCAGTCGCTTGTGCGGAATTCGGTCGAACGTTTGGTGTATGTCAAGTAACAAGATTACTACTGCATATTCGGAATCGATTGATTCTGAAATGTGATTAAAGTAATGCAATTGACAAGTGGTGCACGATCGCTTATTGAGAAAATCATGCTGCGAATTGTTGATCAGGCCAATAGAATCAACAATCTTCATCATCTCCATTCTGACCAGCTTTTCAAATAGCCGAGCGATTATCGGAGTATGGTGGATTGGTCGGTAGTTATCAATCGTTAGTTTGAGACCTTCTTTATGCCGAGGCATAATAAAGGAGGTTTTCCATTGGTCTGGAAAGTGGCCAGATTCCAGTGATAGAGTGAACATGCTCATCAGGAGCAATGGTATATCAGGTTCTCCTAGTTTAATAGTGGTTGCTGTGGAGAGAACCGAGTAAGCGTGGTGAAGTCCGAGAAATCATGGATCGCTGCGGGTCAGTGAGCGTTTGGTGCAAAAATAAAGTATCACTGATACGTTGTGGATGAAAGTGTGCAGCAGATCGGAAAGTCAGAATGGCACCCCAAATGAAGTGCGCAAATGAGCATGGCTATTCTATGTTCGGGCATATTATGCCATTTAAAGGTGCGTACTTAGTGACAAGCAACTCGTCCATACCGCATTGCGTCCTCTACAGCTATCTATAACCATCTAGATCACAAAATAGAAAAGGGAGAGCGACAGGAACCACATCCGTTGTACCGGATTTTTCATTTGGGAACTCAAGAGGTGGCCTCCCGCGGACTTCGGGAGTGGCGACAACGGGGATTTCAGAAGGGAACAGTTTCCGAGTACGTCTTTTAATGGTTGGCAATACCACCTCAAGCTGGCAAGATAAACCGTGTGGAAGGCAGATTTAAAATCAACGAAAACCACTATAGTGAGTCTTATTTAGGTGCGGTTTCTCTCGAACATAAGACAAAGAGTTACTATGTGACCAGTATATCTCTGACCAGGGCGGAAGCCAGTTTTGGTCGCTCTGATACAGTTCTCAAAAAAACAGCAGTCAGCGGAAAATCACGGAAGTCTGAAGGCAGCGACAATAAGACAAATGCGTGGTTGTTGCTCTCATAAACTACTGCGGCCTTGTTTAAGATTGGGATGGAGGTTGACAGCCAGTAGTCTGGGTCCCTGTTGGTGATAAATAAAGCGGGTAGGCTAGCTACCGTTGAAAACCCGATTTCGTCCGGTAACGGTGGATAAAGGCTATCAGGCCCAACCAGTTTGGTTAGTCTCAAGAAAAGAGTTCACATCGAATAATTTCCAAGGTATAGAAGGTGACCTCGGCCTTTTACGATGACTTCAAAAAGAAGGTTGCAGCAGCAAGCATTTTGAATCGTTTCTCAAAGAACACTACCCGGCAGTGTAGCCAGCGTGGATGAGAAAAACGGATCAATTTATCAATCTGCGCTAGGAGAACCACTGCATCGATATCAACAGGAGGCAGAATTTACATGAAGTGAAAAGGCGGTAGAAGAAAACACAGAGCCGGTAACTGGAACAGAAGCAAAAAGGTCTCATTTTGGCTATAGAAAAAACCAATGATCTCACAAATTCAACGGGAATTTAAGCACCCTACTGTGAATTGTGGAATCGATCGAAACGCACACCGAGCGACACAGAGGCAGCCGATTTCGCGCCCAAAGAGAAGTTTATGAAAATGGAATAATTTAAACCGAATAAAAAATACAGAGGTACGCAAGGAAAGAACGGATTCTGTGTATGAGAGTGTGATGGAGTGTAAGTGGAATCAATCGAAGACAAACAAAGTACCTGATGGCACGATCCAGTAGTGTGTGTCCAAGTCTCAGTGTTAAGTGTGAGACTCAACACGGAGTCCAAAATGCGCGTGGTGAGTAGGTGGCGTTTCTTGCGGAGCAACATAGCCAGCATCTGGTAGAGGGAAAATGGTAAAAAAAGGAGAAACAAATAATACCTGTAAAGGACGTCACAAATGGTGATTAACTGAGGCCAATCTGAGGTGGCTCGGCACGTAGCCCCAAGATAATCAACTCGTCGAGCGTACGTATGGGCAAGGCGACCCTCGTAGTATCCTTCGTCACGTGCGACTGGTGGTGTTGGCACGGCAGTGAAGCGTCGGTACTGAGTACCGGTGTACTGTTGATGTCTCCAATTTGAAATAGTGGCCAACAGCGGAAAGAAACTACCGCCTACGTTGATATTTCTGCGGAGTATAAGCTTAACAAGAATAATCCAAGGGTTCGAAAAGGCACAATCAATCGCCCGTCGTTTCTGGAGTCTGATCCCCGATTGTCCACAAAGAGTTCCATGGTGAAGGAAAAAGGTCCCACACTCAAGTTAATCCGAACTCTGCATCATTTAACAGCTGGACTTCATTAAAAGAGCTGCAGCTTGTCTTTTCCAGAAATATACATTAATGCTAATAATTACTGCACTATAATTATTAAAGTGGTCGTTCCTGTGTCTGGTTTGGTAAAGTCGCATAGGGCTTGCACGGTGCAGATGGTAAAAGAAAAAGTTGATAGAAGCGCCGAGTCACACCGGTATATGAAGCTCTGTGGACATGGGGGCTTCAGCATTGCCGATAGTAGTCGCCAGATGATTCCCGCAACATGTCTGACCGCGAGGTCAGGAGTGTCGTTGTGCACTGCTCCTCACCTCTTGAGGTTGGGGTTTGGCCGCCTTTCCTCCTGCGTGTTATCCTTACGTCTGCTTGCGGGGTGTTCCAGGTCAAAGCAACTGGATCGAACCCAATTCGACAAACTGGCAGCAGTGGATTGGTCGGACTGAATTGGAGCACGTGACGTAAAAGCGACCGTCACAAGTGCAATAGCCAATTTGTCGCACCGGGAGTCAGTACTACTCCTCGGACAATGCTAACGCACATCTTTATTGGGTCTCGGGAAAGAGTGGGTGGCGCTAAAATTGGCGGGGAGATAGCAGATCCTAAAAAATACACCAAAGGGAAGAGAGCAAAGTAAATGGAGAAAATGTCGTCATGGAAGTGGTATCGGCTGCTGCTTTCAGAAGCGCGCAAAGGACGGGGTAGGCTTGCGCACGTGTAATGTTTTCCCAGTCGCAGTTAACCGAGCAGTGACTAGTTTTCCATGACAGATGTAGAGCGGTTTAAAGCTGGAGGTGGGCAAAAGTCAACTTGCCACAGAAATAAAGACAGTGACTACAACCTGGGAGGTGTTGGTCTGTCTCGTCTTCCAGGCGGTAACGGCGTGACCCAAGTTGCTCGATAGGTTACAGAACATTTTTGTCGGTGACCTCAGTGAAGTGCCTGCTGTCGTCTTCTAGTTAGACTGCCGGTGTAAAGTGTGGGTGATACTGAGTTATCTGAGTGGTAGTGCCTGATTATGACACGGAACAGTGAAAGTCGCAATGAGGTTGTGTCGTCTTATCTTGGCACAATGGCCAGAAGGTTATCGACAAAATGTAGACGCCTTAATGTTGAATGTTTGCTCAGGACACTAAGAGTCCAAGCTAGGTCCCTCTTCTTTTCACCTATACTTCTTTTTCTTCATTAATTAGGTCATTGTTGTTGATGCTGATGAGGATAGGGAATGCCAGTAGCTGAGGCGGCCGCGTACGCATGAGGCCACATAGCCCTGCGCAGCCACTAGCGTCATACGTTGTGTCGAGTAGGGAGACAGGCTTAATTATAAGTGCAGACGGCTGAGTAACTTTTGAGTAGTATAGATTGTGTGAAAGTACCCGTTGTGAATTACAATATGTACCTAAAGAGCGGCGAATGTCTGGAAGCTAGATAGACTGGCTTGATATCGAGGGACACAACATGCAGCAAAACAACTGTAGCCGGACGGACGGACATCCTTGGGGTGGGGGAGCGATTTCTTCCTTCCGGTTAAGTCATAGCAACAAACCTCTCGATGAACGTGATCTCCCCATCACAATATGACCAAATGGACAGATCAAATGAAATGCAACAAAAAGTGAGTCTTACAGTGAGAAAGGTCGCACAGCGAATTCTTTTAATTTATCCTAATGTTTGAAGCAGAACTTTATCTATCAATTAGGAGAGCCAGTTGCGTCAGGTAGAGAGGATTGCTGGAAAGAGATTTAAATCGGTGGTCTAAGTATCAAATTTTTGTGCGATAGTAAGCAGTTTGTATCAATTTGCGTTTTAGGGAGAAAAGGTCAGTCCAGTTAAAAAGAGATAATGAATTCTAAGCAACAGAAAGAGTGGGGGTAGAAAGGTCAAAATAGTATCACTGGCATGTACTGAGTAAACAGATTGGTGAAATCGATCAGAGATATGGTAGACGAGTGAGCACGATTGGATAAGCATTCTGGTCATACGGTTCCTGGAGCATATTCAAGCCATCCGGTCCGAGATGATTGAAATTGAGAGGAACGGAGATGCATGGAAACGTAAGCCGGTCGTGACAATGGAAAGTAGAGTGAAGGAAAACAAGAGAACCGGTGAGAATGTTCCGGTCGAGGAAAGTGTGCATTGAAACTGAACTGCAGATGAATTTGCTTGGAGACCACGATAGCATCAGTCGTAGTATGCCGGTGCGCGCAGTACTGACGCTGCCCCGCCGCGCAACCATCACCAGTCGCAGGTGGGCTACGGATACTGCGAGGGTCGTCAGGTCCCCTACGGGGGATCGAGCCCACGCCATCGGATTACAAGACACGCTTGTGATCCTTAAGGCTATGTGCCGGCCACCAGCTTAATATTTAACACTCGATATATGTGAATACGTAGCACAGAGGAAAATGGCATGCGTGGAAATGATCAAACGTGCGAAAGTCAATCGGAAAGGAGGAATTCCACTCAACAGATGCGACGTAAAGAGGCACTTAAATTACCAAGACTGCAGCACGCTCACTTGCATGAAGTAAAAGGGTTGCATGATTAAGCCATTTAGGACCGAAATTCGGTGACTCGGTGTCGAAGCTGCGATTCATATGGTTTCGTTCGTCAAACTGTGAAAAGAACTTGCACATCGGTTAGGTTTGTCGCAGGCCCGTCGAATACCCCCGCAAAAAAGCCACCACAAACTCCGGCGTAATGGCTGTGGGAAGCGGAGTCCAATTCCTCCCCACAACGTAGCAGAGTTAGCCACTCCGAGACGCGGCACAACTGCGCACACGTTGACAATGTTCTTTTGCAAACGACATCCCGTCGTGGTAGCAATTTTCGCAAACCTAATGACCCATAGCATTGGCTGTGATTTGCCCTTTGTTGGTTGTAAAAGAGCCTTCAGAGGACCAGTTGCCATTCTTCCTCTTCGCCATAGGTGGGAGTCGGTCGGGTCACGTGATTTTGTGTGTGTCGATAGCTGGGCAGCGTTCGCGTCTAAGCCATTAGTGCGCGTCTTCCGTAACCCCCTCTCGTTTTAGCAGACTCGTCTGTTACGAGGGCTCAGCGTCTACCCGAATACGTGCGGCTACCATCGTTCTCACGATCGCTCGATTTCCGTCTCACCAGCGCGTACCCCGGGCTAAGCTAACGCCATCAGGTCAGTGCAAATTCGTTCGATTGGCCAGCGTTCCAAGCCGTTTCCGTAGGCGTGCTCCAAGCGTGCCAGTGACAATCTTATCAGGCGTTCTCTCAACCGTAACAGGCTACGTCAAACAACCCCTTAACCTAGCAAACTGAATACGGGCGATTCTCAATGGTTGCCGGTGGTGCCAGATAGGAAACGGGTTCCCTACCTCCAAACTGTGCTGTGAATGATGAGGGGTCATGTATAGAACAGTTTGCCGGAGCGCATAGTGGAAACAAATTCAGCGTAGATTTAGAAAATCAATCGGTTTACGTTTCTGCACTCCTAGATTTCTAGAACAATTGCTTCCTGACAACGATATCTCACATTTGTGAGTCCCAAGGTACTGTGAGTCATGCGTTTCATTACAAGATATTAAGTGGGAATTAATAATGATCTCAGAGCCGACAGGTCATAAACAGCATGTGGTTTTCAACAGTTTTGACCATATCTCGATGGACTTGCACAGAGTTAAATTTCCAGTTGCTCCCATATTCAATTTCAAACACTTTAAGGACGACCAAAACGTATCACAGTGGCAGGTATATGTGAGTACAATTTCATTTTGATAAGTTGGCAAAACAGATCAGATGAACAAGTGAAGTAGCGGATAGGGAGGGACTTTCGTTAGCCAGCGAGCCTGTACAAAACCGAGTAGCAGCGGGTACGCCAGAAAATCCAAAGAAACAGAAGAATAGAAAAAAGAAAAAAAACATATCATGTAGACTACATACCTGGTAACCACGAGAAAAACGCATTTCCACTGCAGCAATGGGACTGGCTTGTATCAAAGTGCACGCAGCTTTCGTGGCTGCGTACAACGCTTCTACATCCTGAGCCATCGCGACGAGAGCGAGCCCGATACGAATCCCACCGGCTCCGCCACCAACGCAGTGAAGCTGACGGGTTATTGGGCCAGGCGTGAAGGCACGTACACCTTGGTACCCGACGAGCACCGCTCCGAGGGGACGAGCTGGACCCTGCAGATGGGTTGCGGAGTTATGGAGCAATCGAATAGGAGTGGCGTTCTCCTTCGGGGCGATGTAAAACTGCGGAGAGAGAGAGTGAAGCGTCAAGATAAATAACGTAAAGCCGTTTTGGAGGAATGACTGGCTGGATGGGGACGCAGATGAGTTATACTGGGAAGACTAAGTTCCAAAATACAGCGCTACTGAGCTGAAAACAATAAAACGTGATTCGGTAAACGACATACACGTGACGCAATCCAAATGCATCGGGTAATTCAGTCAAATGTCATGCAGTGGGTTGGTTACAATGCATGGGGAAATGATGTGTGACTCACTTGTCTCGCAATGGACTTTGCATCCGACTGGTTGTAAATTTTCCGAATCCGCGACAAAGTGAGCACTGATGAGGTAGAAGCATAGATTCCAAACACCAGCTTTTCTTCACTGAACAGCGGCTGATAGGAATCCTCACGAGGACAGATAGAAAAGGCTAAGGGTAGGGTGAAGCAAAAAAGGTCACGACAGTCACACATTAGCTGAGGTATTGGGCAGAGTGTTTTTCGAGGGACACATCGAACAAACGCCTATGCACAACCTCAAAACGCGGGGTTGTGGATTGGCACGGTTGGTGGACCATGATTGGTCATTTGAGTAGATAACTGCCGGTGCACCGTGGTAGCCCAGCATAATCGGCCTTCGAGGCTAACATAGAGTTGATTGGTCAAGGAAGTCTATATAAGGATGCCGCTTTGACCAATAAACGCAATTAGCATTCAGCCCCAAAAATCTAATCAGTCCGACTTTGGCCTTCGTGCCTTCCATTAGGGTTGGAACTTCGGAGAGAGCAGAGAGGGTGTGCATGGAAAGAAAAAGCAAATGTGAGGGCAGAAGAGATGAAAGTGTGGTAAGCGTTCTTCCTCAGCGCGAACAATGGGATTAGTGCTGGCTCCCACTGGATGACTGACGGATGCATCCCAGTGGACGGGGAGTGGACCGTTTGGCATAGTGTGATAGGTGACCCCTTGTTGATGCCATCTGCAAACGTCGCCAGTTATCATCTCAGCCCAGAAGGCCTCCTTGTTTGCACGCGGGTGGCATTTCCGATCGGACCTAATAGACAACTTGAGGACATTGCGCTCGATTATAGCAAACAGTTGTCTTCCAGATTCTTTTAGGCTCAAGGGTCCTCCGGAGACCCAGTGTCCGGCGAAACGATGGTCAGCATTGCTGCAAGGATATCCTCTGGCACCGTGCATGAGAGCTGCAGTCGTGTCTTAATGAAACTCGATGCGTTCAGAGCTTTTACAATAAAAAACGCGGAAGTGCACGAACCAGCGAGAGGTTGTGCTCTGACAATTCACCAGAAGATGAAACATACTCCATCTGGTTGATGAAATTACGATTTTCGCGTGTGGAACAAAAGGTGTGTTAATTATGTATAGAGCTGTCGAAAATTATCTGTTAATTACGAGACGCACAGTATAGCCGCGGATAATGTGTAGTAAAAAGTTAGTCATTTCTCATTACTCATAGCTGGATCATGTTAATTTCAGCTGCTTAATCAGTGAGAAAAAGAAATGAGAAAAGGGGGGACTTACAAGTCACTGGCGGAGGAGACTGGAAGCTGCCCACATAATTTGGCCCCAAACGGGCAATGTGAGCTATCCGGCTGGACGAAAGAGGTTCCTCAATCAAATGGAAGGGACCCTGGCGCCAAATCAGAGAACTAGGACGACGCTCCGTCGCCGGAGTGCCCACATAAGCGCATACAGAGGATGGCATGGTTTGGCGGCCCAAGAAACTGCAGCTCGCAGCCGAGCTGCCAATGTAGCTCAACTGAGCACACGGGGCGAGGAATGACAGAACAAGGGGAAACTGTTAGGCACTGTTATGCACAATGTGACACAAATGTAAAGGAACAATGGTAAGCTAAATTGAAATGAAAAGTAAGTTCAGAGTAGGCATTTTCTAAACGATGTGAGGTTAAAAGGTAAAACTGCTTTCTGGAGGCAAAATCAGCCAGTTCTAAGAGTCACTTAACTGAGAAATGCACTGAAGAGATGCGATTTTATATAGGCAGACCGCTCCGAATAAAATCCGCTTACCCACCCCAGCAGGGACAGCAGGAACCGGATTTGTGGAATCAGAGAATTTCGCTTTTTGCATAATACTGAGGGGAGATGTCAGTGTAGAAAATGATAAGAAAAAAGCACTACTGTCGGACCTAGAAGTGAGGAACTTAAGCACCAAGCAGGAGCAAACGATAAATATGGCGCTAAACGTGATACAATTCAGAACGGATAGCTCCCGTCTATCAGTCAAAACATTGGCACAGTTGGCGGCATCTGTGTCCGGATTTACCTATCGCTGTGGCCTTCACGGGGACAGGACGACTGCGCCTACAAACGGACGATAGGTTACTTGCGCCGTAACACCCAGAGTTCCATCCGCAGACCCCGTATCCGGTGTAAGCCTGAAGGACAGGGAGGCACGTGGATGGGAGCCATGTTCCATCAACAGAGCCGGCGCACACTCCTGCAAAATGCACAATAGCAGTACTCCTGTCTACCTACTCTGGGAATCATGATTATCAGACGTACAACACAAGGTGATGGTTGGACCGTAGCCCGATGCGCACTGGATGGTACAACTGATTGAGCCGAGCACAGCCAACGGGACCGTGCAGCCCTTCCCCCCGGGGGAAGATCAGCAGTCTCCTGGAGGCAGTGTAATCGAGGCGCAGGACAACAGATAGGTAATAACCTAGTCAACATTTACATCAGGCACAGCCAAACCGGGGATAACAAACAATCAGCACAGAATTCGTGGGAAAGTAAACACACAAAAGTGACACGGAATATGCAACAGTATAAGAGAACTGAGCAAATGAAATAAAGTGTAAGACATTTTATCCAGATCAAGAAAATCTAGTGTAAGTCGGTGTAGCTCAACTACGGTAGAGAGGCATGATATATGTATGCAACACCGAATTCCGCATGAGGCACTAACAAAACACCAAGAGTAACACCTGAGAACAGTTTATGGATTGTATGGAAAAGAATGAAATTTCTCAGACGCGCATCGTTATACTTAACATGCGGAGAAACTGGTCGTTCCTCCAATATTGTTCGGAAGGGAGACAACACACGTACATTCAGAGTGCGGACGAAATGGGAAAGTCGACGTTACACACTTCAGCGCTCGCAGCGTGTATGGTCGTGATGGCACTAACGTGGACGATGTGGGTTACTGGGATTTAGGGTAATGAGATCGGGATCCAGTCAAGCGATGTGCATGAGGGAAGTCATGATATGATCACGTAAGATGTGACCATAGAATGCTGAGTTATTCGAAATACTGACCAGTAGTAAGAGTCCACAATGTCACGGTGTTGCAATACCATGATGATATGTCGGTCCGGAGTTCCGACGCATCGCCGATATACTTCGTATGAACTGCGCTGAAGGAGTCAGGGAGCTAACTGACAAGGAAATGACGCAACTGTTACAATCGATGGGTCCCAACCCTGAGTGAAATGCGCATTCGTGCACAGCGAACAACATTAGACAGGTACAAGCAGCTGCCAATATGCAGTACGAGTACTAGTTAGATAATATTGTGTCCGCCAGATGACTGGACATATAAGGCATTCTAGTGATTGACCGTTGTTTGATATCCCCGGTGTGGCTGCACTTGATGTGCATGTTGACAAGGTGCCTACCTGTCTATTACCCACTACCTTGTCCATACTGGCTCTAGGAGACAGTTGGTCGTTGCTGGAGGGGACGGGGTGCACAGTCCTTGTGGCCGTGCTAGGCTCGAAGAGTGGTTCCATGCACTCAGTGTGGAGCGGACTACGGTCCAGCCACCGCCTTGTGTGCGCTTGATTCCCCAAATACAGCGTGCTTGCGTTTGCCTGTGAAGGAGTGTGGGCCGGCTCCGTTGATGAAACGTGGCTCCCATCCACCTGCCTCCCGGTCTTATTCCTTCGGGTTTACACTGGATATGGGGTGTGTGGTTGGAGCTGTGGGTGGTGCAGCGCAAGCCATCCATGGTCCCCCTTGTAGGCGCAGGCGTCCTGTGGCTGGCCACAGTGACAGGCAAATCCGAAACCGGATGCCGCTAACCAGTACAAAGTTCCACGCGTGGAACGTTTACGTGGCGGCGCCTATCAGACTGAATTCAGCTTTAATTATCTGATCCGCTGGTAAAGAGGAATGCTATAATTGCATCTGCAACAGTGCGACCTGGTCAAGAAGGCAGACCTCCGGACCTAACTATAACACCGTCTGACAAGGAAACATGATATGTTGTCACATGTGTTCACATTCCGGATGAACATGGATGCACCAACAAAGATGTACGAAAGGCGCGTCCAGATAGACATCTACCACATCCATCTGAAAAAGCAGTTGGTAACCGCGGGACTTGCTTTTAGACTGGTCAACAGTGCACTCTGCATTTGGCCGGTCCGAGAGGTTGATTTGACAAAAGAGGCTGGCGGTGGCCCGATGCTCCTTATGGATGTAACCTACTTGTATAATAAGACCGTAGCTATGACAAAGATGCCCAGAAAACAATCCAGCGAATTCCGATGCGTCTGCCGCATCCAAATTTTTCTACCGTCGCGTCATGCACTATTACCAAGGTAACGTTGGATAAAGACAAATGTTGCTTAGATCAAAGCTGGCAACGAGCTAGTTGGGAACACGGCATTCACAGATTGACCAATGAACCAAAGGGCAATCCTAACTCTGCGGACAGGCAATACTTTCAGGTTGGATACATTGGGAGAGTGGTTGCAATCGAGGGCTGGTGTAAGTGCAGCGCCCAAAAAGATGTAAGACACATGTTTACTACTGTAATTGACAACTAATTCTATAGATCTTTTGAAATATCTCACTAGCAAATATTTTCCAAGAAATAAGGAACATAGGCAATACAGAAGCGCTGCACCACACACAGATGTTAACCAGCTACCAACAGGGACCTCTGAATAAACGCCGCTTTGATTCAGTTGAGAACCGGCAAGCCAATGTCAACGGTCATGGTCAATCGAGATTTCAATTAACTAGGGTAGAAAAAAGGTGCAAGCCTTCCACAATGGAATAATTCGCAGACGTCATTCATCTCAACACTCGAAAAAATACCAGTAACGAATGCTACTGGCAGACACTAACATCGGGGCTCCAGGATGGAGCACGAAACTCGGATACGTCTCCTGTCGTCTCTTCAAAGCAAACTTGGTGGCTTTTGTGAACATTAGGAGGAAAGTAGCCCGAAGTTCCATAATTACCTCAAAATTTCCCTGCATGGAGGTCATGTAAGGCCTAAATAATAGTCTAAGCACGTACATTCCGATGGACATAGTTTGATAGCCGAAAGAAATCTGCTGATAAAAAGAATCGCATACGAAATGAAAATGACATAAGCGAAGAGGGCGCTAAAAATCCAGACCACACGGTTTCTACTTATTTTGGCCCATGGGACTTCACAAAATGGGCAGGACAGGAGAGTACAATGTATTGCGAAAAAGTTATCGCAACGCACAATTGAACAATTGCAAGCAGTGGGATATTTCCGTTTGGGCAATTAAACCACTCTGCCACATGAATCAAAGCAGAAGGGTCGATTTCACAGGGTGCTGTTTGGCCTTCCGTTCCGCACACAAGAATGACGACTGATCGGAACTCACCCGCTGAACTCCAGCGAGCTGACCATCCAGGTAGACACTGCACGAACTAGACTTGATCATTCCAGCGCGGCTGAACACAATCGCCAGATGACGCCAGACGCCGACAGGCCACTGGGAGGAATCACCGGAGGAAGGAAACCCGCATGAATAGACGGCATAGGAGCTAGTGGCTGCGGTCGGGTCACTGGTGGTATCCGTGTCATCAGATTTGACGATTGGGTCAGGTCGTGTATCCGCCAGAGGATCACAGGCGATATCGAAATCGCTCACCTGATCTGTCGCACAAGTGGAATGAAGAAAATATCAATAAGCGAGAAGGCCAGGATAAAATTTCTCAAGTGAGTTGCGTTAGAGTATTCATTTAGTGAGGGCATAGCATACAGCGAGGAGAATTAGTTGGAAATGGAACAGGTGGACAATGGCGCGCATCCAACCCATATGCACAAACAGAAGTCTCATCGGGACTGGACGGCTGGAGGGCGATTGGAGACAAGGGGTGGTGGAAGCAGCCATTATATAAGATAGCAGACCGAGGAAGAACAAGATTGCGCCGGTTAACACATCAGTCTATAGGGACAACAAATGTATGACCACATCAACATGAGCTCAGAGGAAGTTGCGGTTACCTGCCGCAGTCAGAGTGGATTTCTTCAGTTAATCAGTGGCATGAAAGTGTTAATAAGTGGCATGGGACAGAGATAATTATGGGCGGTTTACAACAAAGGCGGAGAGGATCATGGTTCACAGCGAGTAGACCGTTGTTCGGTGATAATCGCAAGAAAGAATATGGGGTCGAAAGAACGTTTGCCTGTGGTCATTCTCACACGGATTCATGGGGCGGTAAAAGAGCAAATTCCAAAAAAACACCGACAGGTTAAGCCTAATTGACTCATCCAAAATCATTCAGCTAATTCATCAGCATCACTCCCAATCAGCAGGCTTAGGCTAGTCTGGAAAAGCACCAGACGCCGGCGTTTCGACCACCTGGGTCTCGTCAGTGGTGCGCCTCCCAGCGGACCCCTGCAGGGTTCCGCCCCCATAACTGCAGGATGCCAGCAGCTAATGCCACTTCGCCATGGGTGACAGCCGAGGACCTGCCTGATTGACAGTTGACTATGATATAGTCCAGCTCATCTTCCACTGCCATGGCAGTTACGAACTGTGAAGAGGACAATGGCTAGCCTCACGAGCTAGGACTTTCCGCATAGCACCTATGTACCACATAGGATTTAGAAGCTATGCGGACAGATTTTATAGTACTGATGAGTATTAGTGACACTAGCCATTGTCCTCTGCACAGTTCGTAACGGCCATGGCAGTGGAAGATGAGTCGGGCTATATCATAGTCAACTGTCAATCACGCAGGTCTACGGCTGTCACCCATGGCATCCTGAAGTCATGGGGGGGCGGAACCCGGCAGGGGTCCGCTGGGAGGCGGACCACTAACAAGACCCAGAAGGTCGAAACGTCGGCTTCTGGTGCTTTCCAGACTAGCCTAAGCCTGCTGATTGGGAGTGACGGTTATGAAATAGCTGAATTATACCAAAATCCTCACTACTATACATCATTTAAAATCGCAAGTTAGTTGGCCCAAAGGATGGCTTTCAATTGATCGGAGATCCGAGTGAAGCAAAAACTGACCCTCACCCTATTTGTGACAAATAGATAGTCAATACGCTTAGTTAACCTGAGGTTAAGTTGAGCATCAACCAGTGGCCTGTTGGCGATGGACCGCACCCTCCCATCGAGTCAATGCAGGTAGTTTACGATGAAACTAAAGGAAAGCGTGACGGAGTAACGCAATCAGAACTACTGTCGTACAGCGGCAGAGATAACGACTGATAACACCTTTGAGAATGCAAAAGAAAGTAGGCACACAGAGACAAATACACTGAAGACCCCATGCAAGGAGTACAACAACCTCGAGAACAAGCCATGCCAGAGATACGCACTAAGCAACTATGTGGTTGAGTCGATTCCCTCCAAAGGACAAGGCGAAAAGAATTATTCCAATCAAATTGTTTCGTTTGGCTTATCCATGATTAGCCTTTCCGGAGATATTGACCGACCGGATTAAAAAACACGCTGTAAGCCAGTGAGTAGTCGAGAGACTGTGGAAGAACGTGACCTAATAACGGTCCAACGTGAAGAAAAGCCCCATCACATAACCCAAGGATTTGTCGATGAGCATCAGCTGATACACCAGGGGAATAAGGCTGATGCTGACGCAATGAAAAGTCAAAAGTTAATTTGTTGTAGTCTCTACCCTCAATTCGTAACAGTCGGGTTTGTGGCCCACAAAGAAACAACGACAGCATCGCACCGTCATACAGCATATTCTTGACCGATAAGCCGACATTATTTAGTCTACACAAGTGCCTGCAACTATTCACCAGTGGAACGGGAACCGTTTAAATAAGAGACGGGAATCCCCACTACTTATAGCTATCTTCGTGAATAAGAATAGTTAGTGAGTCGGTTCGCCCATACATTAGGAACTAACGGCAGTTTGGTCCGCAGTCTATCCGGAAGTGCCAATACGGAGGTGACTGTCTGTGAGAGATCTACGCGGTATAGGTAGGAATTCATCAAATCAGACAGTCATCACACTCCCAGAAAATCAATGTACGGCCGTTGCGTCCTTTCAGGAATAGTCAGCAGTGCGCAATCCTTGTATAGAGCCCGAACCCGCAACTGGACTGGTGCCAGTCTGTGGTTATTACCACTGAGATACGGGGGACTACAACGACCGTCGTGACTGTTACTGGGTGTGATATATCGCTGCATAGTATCCACTACCTATCTACATAGGCCACCTAACTGAATTATGTAAGGCGGTGATCTGGCCAAATTCCCATTGGAAGGAAGTTGAGTTATTCTTGATCGGATTGATTAGAAAGTTGAAACAGAATGGAGAAATAGGGCAAGCACAATGAACCATACTCGGGAAGCAGCATCCTGTATACCTTACACAGCCTACCATATAAATATATTCCGATACAGAAGGGCATTTCTCGTGTAAACACTTTTGCGATACGCATCAACGCAGACAATCGCGATTGACCAGCTCAATTTGGAGTCCAAAACTCGGGATCCAATCACAATAAAGTATCTGTATGTATGCAGGAGAGCAAATGTGAAACCAATACAGTCTTTGCCGGAATGTGGAAACCAACCAAGTTTAAACGGATCCCACATATCTGAGAACCAGCAAACGGAATTGGTATAAGAGTCAGAACAGGGCTCATGCGGTCATCTGACAATCCAAACTAATTCCGGAACCAAAGAACAGGGAAAAGGGATACTGCTTAAATTCCGGAGTGTGTACTTTGTAGGTGTACTTCCGTTGGTTCTGGCTAAACATGCATAAACAAACGCATTGTTTATTCTCGGCAATGCGATGCATGTCTGCATAGGCACGACCATGGTCGCGCATCACGTACAGAAAAACGATCAAAAACGGATCGGAAAAGTTGGAAACCGTTCAGATATGGTCAGCCGGAAAAAATGGGTGGCACAAGGAACTGGAATGGAATGATCTGTTCTAATGAAAAGGGACAAGCATCAGCATCAAGTGGTTTGAAAAAAAAGATGACCATCGTCGCATCCTTTACAAGTGGATGGAGAGGCATCAGATAAATAATTGTAAACAAATTGCGGTAAGGAGCAGCGTGTATTGAAACGATTGCCCTGATACGGATCCAAGGAAGATGAAAACTGTAGGCTTTTGGATAGCAGTTGTGTGTCACGACCATGTGTCGCGAAAACGTTTTTGCGGAGTGCATTGGCATGATCAAACTCTTTCTTTGTATTCTGCATGTGTGACGAGCAGCCACGTGTTGAAAAACGCAATGCGGTTAGATTTCCTTCGCACCTTCAGCAATGTTACATCAGGCGAACATGTAACAGCTCTCCTCTGCTGACCGCAGTCCTCCTGAATTCCAGAATTACGCAGACTGCTGGTATATTGTTAGCAGGTTCCGGAGATAAAGAACTACAGATTAGTACAGGGATTGTTTGGCTGAGAGGTTTTTCTGTTGTCAAAGTTCGTAGAGAATAACTGACAAGATTGCGGAAAACGAGTAAGATTGAACTTTTCGGAGCAGTGAACGACAGGAAAGAAGGAGAAGTATAGTTAATGTGTCTGAAGGTATAACCCACTGGCGAGGTGGACATTTCACGCGCGTCGATGTAACGTCAATTAATTGTAATCGATTTGCAGATATCCACAGAGAATTCCAGTCCAGTAAACAGCAAGAATGAATTTTCAGCTACAGCGGGAAGCAGGAATGAAGTAACCTTAGGAAATGGCACGAGCACCACAGTGCGCAGTGGATCCAGCTGAGGGAATTCATGTCGTAAGAGGTACACAGATAAGTAGCCAAGGGAGTTAACGTAGAGTAGGATACACATAGATTAGAAAAAGTAGGCAAATTAGTCGGACTAGAAAGTAAACAATCGGATACAGGCGAATGAACGTAGGAGTGCTACTAACGCCGCGGTTTGCACCAGTTAGATGACACGTCCAATAGCAGAGGTTGCCGATCCCGAGAGGGCATCATCATGCGAATCTGTGGAAAAGACATTGACATTGTTTTTTCGGAAACCGTCTGATCTCTTGGCAGGATTGGAAGAAAGGCACAGAACGCTATTTAATTATGAGCAAAAAGCTGAATGCTCATTCATTATATCCGAAGAGAGTAGGGGCTATGAAAGGGGATTTGTCATGATACCGGAGGATATTCCCCTTTATCGTGGAAGCTCCGTTAATGAGTATGCTATTGTAAGGCGTACAATGCAACAGAGCGGTCGAGTGGTGGTGACTTGGTGAGGTTCGGTTAGTGTGCGCAAAGAATGCGGGTCAGTCATACGCCTATTCGACTCATGTGGTATGCGTATCGATTTAGATAGGAAATAAAGGTCAGAACATCGCCGCAGTGCCATCTGGCTTAGCTCGACATCGCACACACACACACACACACAGACCGAAGTGCGAGTTGAACAAAGCTAGAGTATGGGGAGATAGGATAAAAGGTAGAACACCAAGATACTGTTAATGAACATTGACCAATTGATTTCCTCAAGCAAAGGAGTCGAGAGAGCCAGCGACTGAAAATAACAAAGGAGATGAACCACGAAGGACTCAGTTTGTAACAAAAGTGAACTGAACACATGACAGTCCAAGTATTAGTAATCGGAAGGGAAGCGTGAATGGAAATTATGACGTTCAAGAGGACGTAATTAAGAAAGCTAAAGATGAGGCTGACGACTGACCTGGCTGAGCAAGCCGTTCCTGAGTGCACACCACGAGCATTTTTGTCACTGGATGAATGAAGACACGAAGACACACCAACTGATCGTTGACACTTTGGATACCCCGAACGATGGTCAGAAGATGGGCGGCTTGTAGAGGTGCTGTTTTAGACTGTGCTGTAGTTGGCGAAGCGTGATGGCGCGGTTGATCAAAGCGAACCACACAGACCCAGGTAGAAAAAGTGAACCCATGCAAGGGCGGGAAAATTCTTTCGCCTGTTGATGGAAACATAAAAGGAGGACGAATGGAGAAAGACGGGAGGACATGGTGGAGGAAACGCTGAATTAAATGTAGGAAAACTGACGCAACAGACAGATAAACTAACAACACGACAGGGGCGTCGCAGAAATACCAAGAGTCGGCGAAGGAATTGCCGCTTGACAGGAAGCGTTGACCACATTCGTGATTTAGCCGGAACCAACGTACTGTAGGAGGCTTTTGAAGCTGCGAGAGAAATTCACAGTATCCATTAGGGAACAATGAAAAAATGAACCAGATGGTTCGATTTAGGTTGTGAAACGGCAGCAAAATGTGTAGTCTGGACTAGGCTAAACTACATCGTGAACATGGATATCGGCGCATTGGATAGTGCCCTAAACGTTGCAAGCAAGATGGACTAAGCTAATAAAGCCAGAGGTATGACGATATGCAACGAAGCCAAAAGCTCATACTAAGAAACTGATATCATTCCCACATTGGTGATGTTACCCCGAGTGGAAATAAAACGTCTGGAATCAAGTTGCTCAGTTTGGTGAACAGGATAACAGTCGAACAAGCCTCGTGAACTGTCAGTAGTTCAAGTAATTCCGGCTACGAATCCTATTCTCATCGGAGCTAGCGGTAGGGTTCATGTAGGGAAATACTCAACCATGGAGTGTAGCGAATGAAAAAAGTAAAACAATTATGGCGAGAAGATGCATGTGTTTTCGAAACGCGGAGCATAGTTGCAGAGGAAGACAAAAGCGGGACACTACAATCCACTGAAAACGATGATACAGTACACTTGTACGCAGAGGATACAGTAAATATAATTCAAAGTCGAGAACAACAAAGTTTATCAAAGAAATTGTAACAAACATTGGTAGTGGGTCAGCTCACCTAAACCAAACAGCATTACACAGGTGTGTAAAGAGAATAAGTGACCACAAAGAGCCCGAAGTAGCAAGCACTGACACATGAATGATGGTTCCACACAAAAAGATGAGCGTATCCCGCCTGTCGGGAAATACACCCATTTCATTCCATTTATTCACTCACTCACTCAAAACGGCGAGGTGCGTGTGCAATGGATTTCACCTGACAATACGGAGGCAGCAACAGGCTGCTACACAAAATTGTGCATCGCTATCGATTCACGCAAATGAAACAGTACGACTTCACGACATCATTCATCGCTAGGACAAGCGTAGTGTTGGGGTTAGATGATGTAGCGGCGAGGAAGTGAATCCGCATACTGCGTCTCACGTTCGAGTTCCGGTCGTGGAACACACACAGCTGTGAGCAAGCAAATGGTGAATTGCATGTGTTCTTCTGCTACGGTTCCATTGAGCGAATAGACTGAGACACACCTCAAAATAAACCGCGTCAGTGAAACTCAGTTTATCAAAGCTGATCCGCGCTGCGCCGATAAGCAGTCGATACAATTGCCTCGATACAAACCACCAGAACAATAATAATAATAATAATAACAGAAAAATGAGTAAGAAGCAAAAACCCCACAATGAGCCGTTAGAGTCAGAAACAGGAGGATGAGTGTAAGAGAACCGCCCGTTCCGCGACACCGCCGTATCTGACAATGTGCAAAATCATGGGGGTGGTCGACATGGAAGTCCTCATCCAGTAGGGAGGCAAATGCAAACCGAATTCAGCTGTTTGGCGAGCTTTTTCTTATTCATTTGCCTTGTTGCTGACCGATAATCCCGGGATTCATGCCATTGGGCAGTTAACTACTAATGAGTAGGCGGATCTTTCATCAAAATTTACAGAATTGTCCCGGCAGCTAACAAGTCAGGTGGTCCAACAACTAATTCGGTGGGCGGACAATAGCGAAACAACACATAAAGCGGAACTTAGCTCGCTGAACTGCGAAGTATGTAACAGAGTTTTCGAATGCGATTCGGGAGTAACAGCCATTTGCTGATGAGACATCAGACGGCGTGTTGCCGCACACCTGAAGACGAACTAGTGTTACGTATTCGATTCTCCCGCCACACATGAACAACGTGCACAGGCATCGATGACCAAATACAACCAGTCTCTTGAGGTGTTAAATACGCATCGACCAGGTCTCATTGTTCATGCATGCAGCAACACTGCTACACTGCAAAGTCGTCAAGCCTTAGCCGACAAATTTACGTTCATCCGTCCCCTAAAGTGACCAAGGCTTTGAAAAATAACACGAGCCGTCGTATATGCGGGAATCTCCTTTGTGATGCATCCAAAAGGATTGAAATAGGTACTTAAAGAGGTGGACCGATTCGCTATCTCGAGCGGTTCTTCCATGGTTATGAAGGATGGCAGCTCGCCGGTACAGTTGCGTGGTAGTACTTTGCATTTTGAATATGTGTAGGACATGCGCTGCGTTACGTGTCAACCTACTAAGCAGCATGCATGTAGCAGCTTGGTCCGATTCAGAGCTATGCCGTCCGCGTAATTTAGGTTTGGTTCAGAAGAAAACCAAGGTAGAAAGCGTAAGCTGTGCACGACCAATACGGCAAAAACGTTGAGGAAGAAGGAGACACAGAGCAATCATGACGTACTCCGCTTGTCGTGGGAAACTCACGGCCTTGGAGTAAATGTCGTGCCGCAAACCATTTACACGAACGCTCTTTACAAAGTAACAACGAATCTCCGCATACCTTACTCTAAAATGTGCTAGAACTAAGGTGTCTTCAGCTCACCAAGGGCCACAGATGGGCGTTTTATCAACACTGGTGATTCCTCCAATCGATAGGAAAGGTCACATACATGCAACACATTCCCTAAATTCGTCACCAGCCCACTCAGATCACCCCAGAGAAAACTAGGCAGTTTTTGGACTAGCCCGGTTACACAAAACCGGTGGAGAGCTTAGACGGTATGCCAAAAGTAAAGTCCCCTCTCAAAACTCCTGGCACTTGGGTATGGATCGGAAAAAGCGCCTGCTGCTGCGTCAATCTTCCGGTTGTCTATGAATCAACATCATAGCCATTAAGCACAGATATGTCCATCACTTTGTTCGATTGCACCAGAAGCAAGACAATGCAGGAGGATGTGGGAACACCTGAACTTTGAATTTGTCCAAAATTAGTGTGGTGATTTAGCAAACAATTGTGATAAAGAAGTGTGAAGCAACCACTGTTAGGGGAATCAATCAGCTGAGGTGCATGTTGTGTGACAGTTCGCAATCATAAGCCTTCATTTTCGCTGCGTGCATCTCTAGGCATTTGTTTTAACGCATCATTGCTGTTTCTCGTGGCTTACCACAGGCTCCACCCTAAGGCTGACAGTATCACTTTCTCCTCGCTGATTACGGCTGATCGGTGCTGTATGTGAATGCTACATTGCTGCCTCAATCAGTCCGGTGTTCTCAGTGCCGTCGTTGGTGTTGACCGCCCAGTGTTATATTAAATAGAAAAGAACCTTGGCCCATGATTGGAGGGTCGTTTTGAGGTACAATTTGTGTAGATGGATTGCGACACGCAGTTTTAATGTGGACCGCGATTCTCATTAAAGTGAATCTTGACCATGCGATCACTAGGACTGCAGTTGAAACAGGTAGAAATCGAGTGTTGCCCGCTCGAAAACACTGCACTCAATGACGCGTTTTGATCTCATCAGACAGATAGCAGGCATGAAACGCGAGACCACTGGGATGTTAGTTGTGACCGCTACCCAAAAGTCATCGGGTCACGTAGGGGAAAAAGACCGAAAAGCGTCCAAGGAGTGCAGTGTTTTCGGGCAAGCAAAACCCAATTTCCATCTGCTTCAGCTACAGTCCTAGTGATCGCTTGACCAAGATTCACTGCAATTGGAATCGCGGTCAACATTTGGATTGTTTGTCGCGATCCATGCACACAACATGTACTTCAAAACGGCCTCAAAAGCAATCATTAAGCGTTTCGCCAAGCGTTGCCAGTTGTGACCCGGTGCCTTAGGGGTAACAGTCACCACTATCACCCCAATGGTCCAGGATTCGATGCCTGATAAGATTAAAGAAGATTGAAAGGCGTCATGAAGTGTAGTGTTTTCGGGCGGGCAACCCCCAATTTCTACCAATCTTAGGCCCTCTTTTTTGGTGTTCGCGTTCGCAAGGGGGCTTAGAGCATTTGGCGGCGACACAACAAACACAACCATTCGAATTATGTACAAATGCATACGGTTGAAGTTGGGGAGGTGTGAGTTATGGCGAGGTGATAATCAACAACACACAGTCTGATCAGTGACAAACGGTGTCCTAATGTCCAGATAATAACAACGAGGTGACAGATTAGGTATACGATCCAAAACGAAGGGCAGTCAGCCACCCATCCTCCCGGGCGTGACTGAAATCAGTGTGCAGAGGTGTGGCGCGCACCGACTGAGTGACTAACCAAATACAACCAAGGAAACTCCGTGCATCTGGAAGCGGAGACTATGCGGAAATCCAGGCTAGTATGAGGTGTATCGATGATATAAGCTCAGAAGGCATCAAAATTGGGGGAAGTCTGTAAATGATGCGACATGCACGCCGCTGAGTATCTAATGCACAACTGCGAATAGCGGAGATTAGTTACTGTTGGGGATGAAAACGGAAGTAACACACACACTGTATGTCGGCAAAAAGGCGGTGAAAGCGAGCTGAGGTCATGCACCGAGAAGCTGGCGCACATAAGGAAGATATGATTGCGCAGACTGAGCGCTATGATAAAGCGGTTGCATACAGTCGATTTGACGCGCAGCGGACGGACCAATGTGCTGGGTACACTCAAGAAGTAGGCCATCCTAGGTCTACTCACCATACGTTACAAACAATAATTCACCGGGAGTATGGACCCACGCAAAATACTACACCGAGTCTAGAAAAAGGTTAAGGGGTTGATGCAGGTCATGTCGCAAACATCAATCGACTAAAAGGGTCAAACAGAGGGACACGAGACAGATTGTGGGTATAAAAAAATTAATCATTAGTGACCATTTATACGTTTCAAGTCAATGTGCAATCAAAATCATCACTGATGACTCGGTTGCCGAATGCTTCCGTAAGGCGAAGAGAATGCTTACTTCGATCAAGCGGTTAGCAGACTAACAGCGTCGGATCCCATCTATGCGCATGCCATGTTGAGAAGAGAGCATAGAGCGCGGTAATTCCGGTCAGTCAAGGTAGTAGGTCGCCGACACAGTTTATACCATTTCCACTTCAAATTAAACGTTTTACAAAATGCACTGGATGTTTTGCGAAACACTCTGGACTTTTTGCAAACCACTTTGGACATATGGGATTTTAAGCAGAAAGAAGCAATTCACATTCAACAAATGAGGAGTAAGGCGACTAGGTGATGTCCAGACTACATTGTAGTCATGCTAATACAACCGAATTGTGTAACCAGCCGGTGGCACTGCAAACTCTGCCCTTGATCGTGAACCTCCATTGTCTCGATCAAAAACGGTGACTGGATATCCATCTGTCTCCTCGTAGTCTATGTATTCCTGATTTTACATGTGGACCTGTGTAGCTATGTGACTATTGGAAAGTCAGACTACCCATTCGCGTAGTCTCTCATGACTTGAACAAATGTTACTTTGCATTGGAGGGTCGTTGTGGAGCACTGGTCTAGAGAATGGATCACGATGCGCCATCTCAATGTGGTCCGCGATCACTTGGACCGTAACTGATGAAGCACATGAGCGGCGAGCCTGTTGTCCCTTGTCACACTCTATGGGCTTTCGCGTGTGTTATGTGAGCCAGCAAATTCAGCTGCTCGATTATTGGATCAGTGCAGGCTATAATGACTCCACCAAGCGTAGCATAGTTTTATTGGCCTACTGTTGCAAGTCGTTATCAAAGAAAGGGGCTTAACAAGACTGGACGATGTTCACACTTCATTGTGCTCGCGTGAAGGCAACGGGAATGTGCATTCAGTGTGGAGTGGTGCAAGCCTCCTTGTTGATTATTAGTGTTGTTCACGACAATCAACGTCAGTGACTCGGATTCCCCTGTCCCTCTATGGGCACTCGAGTATTTCCCGTGGGTGTGTGGGTGAACCTGTTCAGCTACAGGACTATTTGAACAATGTAGGCTATCATGATCACCAAATCTAGTCTAGCTTTATTGGCTCAATGCTGCAGTCTCTTAGCAAGGAACAGTGGAGCAATAGTGTATTACGGGTAAAAAAAGCAATACGTAACAGGTCCCGTTGGATGATTAACAACTGCCGCGTGTCTAACGGGACTAGACAATATGCAGGCCACATTTTGTTCATGCGAATGCAACCGAACTGCGTAACCAGCGGGCGATTGTCGTTCGTCATTCATTTTTGTCGTTTCTTACAGCACAAGGCGAATAAAGTGATGCTGGGTTCGTTGGAGTCATGATAGTCTCCACTGATCCAATAATCTAGTAGCTGAGTAGGTCGGATAACACACCCACATAAAATACGCGGATGCCCAGAGAGTGCAAGGTCATCTGTGTCACCTGCTTCGATGGAGGTGAACGACGCCTATGATCAAAAAGATGGACTTGCACCAGTGCCCACTGCTTGCACAATTCTGTTGTATTTGCATGAGCAAAATGTGACTGGAACATCCTCCAGCCAGCCGTCTTACACTCCTGCCCTTGATAACTAGCTACAATAGTAGGCCAGTAAAGCTAGATTGGGTTTGGTGGATTCATAATAGCTCGTATTGTTCCAATAACTGTGATGCATAGTTTCACCCCCACACGAATGCTCACGGAGCGGCAGGGGAACACAGCGCCACCAGTTTTGCTCGAGGTGAACGACGCCAGTGATCACGAAGAGGGCTGGCACAATCGCCCACTGTCGTTGCATTTGCATGATCAATATGTGGCGGGAACATCGTCCAGTCGCCTTATTCTTATGTCTTGATAACAAACTGCAAATTGAGGTCAGCATAATTTGCCTACACTGTTCCAATATTCGAGCAGCTGAATAGGCAGCCACACACCCAGATAAGATATGTGAAGGCCCATAGAGCGATAGGGGACAACTGGGTCACCGAACCTGATCGAAACAATTGACGCCCATGATAAAGAGGAGGGATTGCACAATCGCCCACTGCTGATGCAGTTAGGTTGCACCCTTGTAAGCGTAATGTAGCCGGAATATCGTACAGTCCGCTTACTCCACTGAATTTGATAACAAGCTACATCTGTAAACCAATGAAGTCCGACTGGTATCGGTGGATTCATAACAGCCAACAGTGTTCCAGTGTTTGCACTGCATAGTTTCGCGCATACACCCACAGTAAATAGGCAAAAGCACTTAGAGCGACAAGGGGCAAATTGGTCATCGGCTTTGCTCGGGGTAAACAGCGTCAATAATCGAGAGGAGGGTTTGCACCACTGCACACTGATTGCACATTCTCGTTGCCTTCGCGCGAGCACAATGAGGTCTGAACATCGTCCAGTCGTTTTAATCCCCTTTCTTTGATAACGACTTGCAGCAGTAGGCCAATAAACCTATGCTACGCTTGGTGGAGTCATGATAGCCTGCACTGATCCAATAATCGAGCAGCTGAATTTTTTATCCCACATAAAACACGCGAAAGCCCATAGAGTGACAGGGGACAACAGGCTCGCCGCTCATGTGCTTCATCAGTTACGGTCCAAGTGATCGCGGACCACATTGAGATGACGCATCGTGATCCATTCTCTAGACGAGTGCTCCACAACGACCCTCCAATGCAAAGTAACATTTGTTCAAGTCATGAGAGACTACGCGAATGGGTAGTCTGACTTTCCAATTGTCATATAGCTACACAGATCCAGGTGTAAAATCAGAAGCACATAGACTACGAGAAGACAGATGGGGAGATAGGGAGGTACTCAGTCACTGCTTTTGATCAATGCAATGAAGGTTCACGATCAAGGGCAGAGTTTGCAGTGCCACCGGCTGGTTGACTACAATGTAGTCTGAACATCGTCTAGTCTCCTCTGCCACCGTATGCTTTCACGCGGACCCCATATTTCAACCGTTTGATACATCCAACTATATGTTCTTTCCTAGCATCGCGGTCATGCGGAATACTTGAATTTTAACACATTTCTATAGATACTGCACGAGATGTTTAAACTTCTTACTGACTACACATAAATGCCGAGCTCAACGAACACTCCGACAACCAACTGAACAACCTGAGCCACCAACATTTATTTTTATATCAACGAACCGTATAGCAAAAGCTCGAGGTGCTTCTGCCAATCTCCGCACCTGTGGCGCAGACGCGACATTACTCTCGCCCTGAAGGGCAGAGTTTACAACGCAGCCGTCCGTTCAACTCTCCTATATGGTTGTGAAACGTGGCCCATCAGGTCGACAGACATAAAGCGACTTGTCATATTCGATCATCGCTGCCTTCGCAGCTTAGCTAAGGTCTAGTGGCAGCACCGCGTGAGCAATGTGCGTGTTCGACGTCGCGTATTTGGTGCAGGAAGAGCGAGTGAACCGCTCAGCACCATTATATCACGCACCAAGCTCCGATGGTTGGGCCACTTGTTGCGCATGCCAGCACACCGACTTCCGCAACGTGCATTGTTTGCGCGTTGTTGGTACGGTTGGAATAGGAGGAGGGGAGGCCAAGTGATGACTTGGTCGAGAGAGATGAAAACCCTCACTTCGAAGTTGGCGTCGGTTGGTGAGTCCCGACTGCCTGGTTGGGGTCCTAAGGACGCTGAACACGTTTGCTTGGACACACTTGCTTATATGTCTTGGAGCCGGCCCCAATGGCGTTTGTGTTGAGTTCCTTTGTCCATCCCCCTCCTGTTTAGCATCCCCTTCCAATCACGATCTCACTTGTTAGGCATAATATGACTCTTTTTTACGGCACGATAGCCAGCTGTTAGCTCTCCGGAACGATGCCCATCCGTTATTGGGGACTCAGCCGGCGTGCCACTGCTTGTTTTCCTTTTCTTGTCTTTTGTATTGCGGCACAATAGCTGAGGTGTTTTCCACCTGCAGCTAACGTGTATAATGATTTATATCAACGCTTGTAATGCTATGATCAAACCTGGAAAAGTGCGCCTCGAATGTTTCGAGAAGAAAATTATCTATTTATTTTTAATGACACGCGAATCGATGATCTGAGCTGAATGCATAACCGCTATCTTTCTCTGCGTATGACATAATAGAATGAGCACTGGCTTGTAACATGTGGACTACGGTTTAGGCGAGCGAACGCAGTCCCAAGCGGTAGATGGAGCAGTCATACAGACACAAACACACACGCACACACATAAGCCCAGATGTCCCGTTTCGCGTCGGAGCTGATCGAACAGGGAGAATAAAAAACATGCTCCCGTATGAGATAAGCTGCTAGGCAAAGATTACCCGACACAAAGAAAAGACGAGAGAACAAGCACACACTACATTCAGCGCCTAGGAGGAGGCGATCCAAACCTCTAACTGGATGTGGCTACATAGATAGTGAAAGCGGGCAACAGTGTATATCCAGGTTGCAAAAACTGAGTAATGGAGGGGCGTGAGTTTGAGTTTTATCTATCGCATGCATAGATGGAAGCTAACGGAACGAACGCTCAGTCCAATTCATTCAGTCCAACAACTTTGATCCGTGTATCGAGGCGCGGTGGATCCAGTTACTATGGTACAGATGACCATAATAACAATATTGATAATAATAATATTGGTAACAAGAATTTGATGGGAATGAGCATAAACTTAAATCGGAAGATGGAACAGTCAAAGGTCCGGGGTGAGGGAACGATCGAAAGAGTGCTACTGACTCCGTGAGCGCGCCATACCTCTACTCCGGAAGAAGTGAAGATTGGGGAAACTCTGACGCATGCCACTTGTCGTGGTGAACGCAACAGTAGGTTTCCGGCAGACTAAAGAAACTGTTGTGATAGAGATTTTAAAGTATAGATGAAGTTCTGAGGTGCATCCGCCAAACACAGACATCGCTTCAAACAGAAGGAAAGACATTTTACAAACCAAAGTAGACCATCATGATAGGCTGTTTGTGAGAATAGTGATGTAAGTGAAACGGGGGCGGATTTCAGAGTACAGAATATGACAGAGTCACCTGTTCCCACACCGCCAGTGAGGATCTCCGATTCCGGGATTGATGCGGCGCCAGACAGGTTGGCGACCGAAGCGGGTCCCTGAGGGGCGATTGAGGGCAAAAACAGGCAACCAAAGCCCTCCGGTCCCATATCGAATTCGACGAAAGGCGGTGGATTCGTGCGGGTCTGCTGAGTGGACTCGTAAAAGCTGGTTTCGGTGGTATGAGCAGATGTGCCGGACAGACTGGAGGCAGATGAGGCGGTGGGTCGGGCAACTACCGCGCAAACCGGGGTGGCTGTCGCGATAAGACACTTTACCTGACTCAGAGGAAGCGGTCCACCGGAGCGAAGTTTTGCTCTTGTCCATGCCAAGTTGATTTCATCCAGCGGATCCATGTGGGTGTCCACAGGTGGCTGGGTGAACTCGGACACAGGACAACACAGGGGATTGTTGATGCGCAGGTACTGTCTTTAGCAAGAAACGGAAGTGGGAGAGAGAGGAGAAGAGGGGCTATGCGATCGTCAAGTGTGGTCGTTTGATGAAATGTTGACGAATGATCGAATGTACAAGAGGAAGCACGTAAGAGTCGCGGATGTTCACGTTCACATCACGAACGCTTAGAAAGGAGGGTGTTGCGAAGCCAGAAGCGCAGAAAAGGAAAATAACCAGGCTTTGCAAGGGTACTAGCATTCCATGGTGGAGAAAAGCGGGGCTGATGAAACTGCGCACCATCAGAAAGCGATATATAAGAAAGACCAAGTGGATAAAACGGAATAACACAGCAATACTGGTGCTTTCAAAATCTTGACATCGAGAGGGAAGAAAATTCGCGGTGACGTGGATTGCATGCGCACTCCTTTCGTCACAATCTAGTGAGTGCTCGTAACTGGCATAGAAAAACACGCCAATCAATAAGGTAATCTCGATCACTGTGACGGATGTAGTGCATCCAGTGCCAACAAAGGTTAGAGCAGGAATAAAGTGTGTCAAAACTTTTCGCAAGGAGTGCCACATTTTGTGAGGCAAAAATATGTTGGGTCATATTCAGTCTGACAGGAAAATAATAACCAAAATTGACATACGAAGGTGGACTTGGAGAATCCGCTGATGGTTGGGTTGCTACAAGCAACCTCTATTGAGACCTCGGTTCACTTGAGGTGGACCTCGGTCATTCCGATCTCTGAGTTCCAGCCCAACTCAGGCTATCTCCAACTGATGAGTCCCAACCAGGACGAAACCGCGGTCTTGGGGTGCCAGTGTTGGGATGAGCAACACTATAATGTTTCCAAAAATGACATAATTTTTTACTGAAAGTATTTAATGTGAATGATGAAAGTGAGATGTGGAGATATGTTGAATTTTTTGATTTAGTTAAGACCCCTTTAGTAAATGTACTGGACTGACTTTTCCTAGTTGGTTAAAATATACAATACTACCTCATGGATTTTTGCCGGCATCTGACGTCATCGAACCTTGTACTCTTGATTTTTTGTAATATATATAAGGTCGTCTGCACGGAAAAAATGCAAGCTTGAATTTATTAGTTCGTGATGAGGCGGCGAGCGATTTGAAATGTTAACGCGGGCCGCAATTGGCCCGCGGGTCGGACTTTGGACATCCCTTCCCTATATCACAGGCTAGGAGACAACGACGGCAGAAAAATGGTATACAGTCATGTGATCAAAGGTCAAAGAAAGTGATCATAATAGAAAATTCGAACAAGCTAGGGAAAACTGCACAATTGTCAAATTGTGCGAGAGCCGCATAGAAAACGAACGTGAGGCAAGTCAGTGTTCAGAACCAATGATATAAGTGTGTTAGAAGGTCGATTGCCGAGACAAAATAACGTACACGAACATGTGATAGCCGTCCGATAGCGGGGAATCGCAACCGAACAGACAGGGGAAGGGAAAGCGATGGGGTTGCAGTGCACGCAAGTCACCTCATAGGTATTATGAGTATTTTCACGGCCACGTGACTAAACGAGCAAAATAAGTCACAAATGGGCGCACATATTGAACGCGACCGTGTGCTGAGTATGCACGGAACAGATGGATGTGGGTGGTGTCGCCGGTTGTTGTTGTTGTTGTTTATATCAGTGAACAATGGTCTGCGCGTCAAGGTGCGATAGGCATAGTAGCTATGTAATGTCATTATAGCAATAACAGTGGTCAAAAGTGGTGAAAACAGGGGGGGGGTGAAAGATGTGCAGAAGGTGAAGACCGAAGGGGACAGACAAACAAAAGTGAAAATCGATGTACTCATGAGTAGAGGGAGTTTGATACAAATAATTGAGGTTCATCACAGCCAGCTTCCAAACCAGATAGTCGTCCATATGCCCGGAAAAGCACTAGACTGCAGCTTCACCTTGTTAGGCATCATCAGTAGTGCGCAACCATCAGGATTCGAACCCATGAGTGCCAGCGGCTTGCACCGCCAGTCAGCAGCGTATGCCAGTGGGGCACGGGGGACAGTTTTGGACGGTCATGATTTATAAGCTAACTGCGATATAGCGCATCTTATCCTCCACTATCATGCAAGGTACGAACATTGCAGAGGACAGGGTTGGCCCCGAAAGACACGACGTCCACTAACAGTAGATATGTACGACATAGCATTTAGAAACTGTCAGGGCGGATATAATTTGATGTACTTATGAGTGGTGGATTTTGATGTAATTATGTGAGGTCCATCGCATCCAGTTTCCAAATCAGATAGTCGTCCACATGCCCGGAAAAGCACTAGACTGCAGTTTCAGCCTGTTGGGCATCGTCAGTAGTGCGAATCCACCAGGATTCGAACCCATGACCACCAGCGGCTTGAACTGCCAGTCAGCAGCTGATGCCACTGGGCCACCGCGGACAGCTTCGGACCGTCATGATTTATAAGCTAACTGCGATATAGCGCGTCTTATCCTCCACTGCCATGCAAGGTACGAACATTGCAGAGGACAGGGTTGGCTCCGAAAGACACGACGTCCACTAACAGTAGCTGTGTACGACATAGCATTTAGAAACTGACAGGGCGTATATACGTTTATGTACTCATGAGTAGGGGATTTTGATGTAATTAAGTGAGGTACTTCGCAGCCAGTTTACAAATCGGATAGCCGTCCATATGCCCAGAAAAGCACTAGACTGCAGCTTCACCTTGTTAGGCATCATCAGTAGTACGCAACCATCAGGATTCGAACCCATGACCACCAGCGGCTTGAACTGCCAGTCAGCAGCTGATGCCACTGGGCCACCGCGGACAGCTTCGGACTGTCATGATTTATAAGCTAACTGCGATATAGCGCTTCTTATCCTCCACTGCCATGCAAGGTACAAACATTGCAGAGGACAGGGTTGGCTCCGAAAGACATGAGGTCCACTAATAGTAGCTATGTACGATATAGCATTTAGAAACTGTTAAGGCCAATATATTTTGATGTGCTCATGAGTAGGGGGATTTTGATATAGGTGCGATATGCATAGTAGCTATGACATGCCATCATAGCCATAGTTGTGGTCGAAAGTGGTGAGAACAGGGGGCTGAAAGATGTGCGGAAGGTGAAGACCGAGGGAGCCAGAGAAACAAAAGTCAGAATCATCCAAAGTGAAGAGACAGAAGCCAGTAGAAGTGGAATGAGTACAAAAGACTGACTGCGAAGGTGAGTCAGCCAATGCTGTGTTTGAACAGGTAATGGGGTGCAGTTCCCGCTCAAGAGCACCATTGCAGTGTTATGGGGATCTGTTGAAGACCAATCGCAGGCAGACTACAGGAACATCAGCGTGGTCAGGTGAAGCAATTGGGTATCAGATGACACCGTATGATTACAATCAGGTGGAAGTGGTTGGGCTCCTCTTGAATTGATCACAGAGTGGAAGTGGGTTCCAGACGGCAGGGAACCGACTAACGGTACTCCAAACTCGAAGTAGTGGAAACAAACCCCAGGACATTCATGCTATACAATAGCATAGACCAGACCAGACAACTGTCAAAGGTATTCTCCAATGGCTGAGTCTTGAGAGAAGACCATCCACGTGCTTCTTCAAACCGCCGACGGAAAGAACACAGTGAAAGTGAGTCTGCTTGACATTAAAAATAATGGGTTTGGAGACCGTGAAAGAACGCTACCCATTGGTTCATAGAAGTATACAAACGATTACGTACTACGCAGATGTAGAATTTGACGAAGGGTAACGGCAGTTTAATTGTGAACAGGTTTATGCAAAGAAAAGCGAAAACCGCCTGTCAAGAGCCAGAAACAACCTGTTGCTGTAAACATCAAGGAGCACAACGGCATGCGGAGTACAAGTTCCGCTAAGTCAGAGAAACGTTGGTAGTTCCAATTCTGCCTCAGCACAAGGACGAAAGCTTTTGTCGCCCACTGCACGATCAGCAGTGTATTAAGAATCCGTCATAACAGTTTCTAGATGTTATCGTACATAGCTACCGTCAGTGGACGTCGTGTGTTTCAGGGATAACCCAGTCCTCTGCAACGTTAGTAATTTAATAATAATAATAATGATAATAATAATAATAATAGGTATATTTCTCATCGAGTGAGAAACTGTGCCCATATTTGGCACAGATCATATTTTACAGAATATGCCATGCTAATGCATGAATGGTAAACAGTTGCGGGATTTTCATTGTCGTTGCAGTTTCAAGGGTATGTATTTTCGCACAGGTGTGTGAATGCAATGTGCACTATTTGGAATAGTTGATGGTAACAGCACTAGGGGTGTGTCACACAGTATGAAATTATTTGTGGTTCACTCATTAGATGCTGTCTGGCTGTTCTTGCTGCAAATTATCGAGTGATCTCTCCCAAAAGAACAAGATCATAATCGTGTTTCAATCTAGGTCATTGGTGAGCTTGACGCGAAAGCCCGTTGCGCTCTCACATGATCTGATTGTGATTGGGAGCGTATTCCACAGTACAGCATATCTTATAAGAAAAGCGTTATACAGCAGATTCACTCTGCACCTGGGTACACTTAGTGCGTAGCTCTCTTGTCGAACTGTGCTGTAGTTCTAGGGAGGGCAAATAGCAGTGTGTATTTTGATGAATCATGTTGTACAGAAGCATCAGGTTCTGTCTCCGTCTTCGTAGTCAAGCTGGAATTGTTGGTAGCGCTCCCGATAGTTTGTAGTGGATGTTTTTTGCCTAGCAGACGTTTAGTAAATGACCTTTGTATGCTTTTCACAGATGCATGTCAGTGGAGGATAAGACGCGCTATATCCCAGTTGGTCTGTACATCATGACGTGCCGAAGCTGGCGCGCCGTGGCCCAACGGCATAAGCTGCTGACTACCGGTGCAAACCACTGGTGGCCAAGGGTTCGAATCCTGAAGGACTCGACTGATGCGCACCACTGATGATACCTAAGAGGTTGAAATGGTAGTCTAGTGCTTTTCGGGGCATGCGGATGAATAGCTAATTCGGTAGCTGTTGCGAACAACTCACAATTAATTACATCAAAATATCCGTGCTCATAAGTGCAATAAGAAAGCCGCATTGATGCTTCGCTGTCATACGAATGAGGAAAAATAATACGAAGGGACAGGATATACCTGATGTAAGACCTGTGAACGGTCTGTGAAAAACGCCAAGACAAAGTCACTGAAGCTTTGCAGATAATGTAGGTTAACAAATAACAGGTTCGTGTGGATAGATGAGACGACGTTGGTGAGCGGCTTCCTTGCAACATGTACCACTTGATGTGGTAATCAGCTCTGACCAACACAACCAGCAGCGAAAAGGATTAAAACAAGAAGTCAGAGGCCGAAATGACACAACACTCGACACTGGTGTCGGTCACGAGGTACGCACAGGGTGGGTCTCGCACATATCACGGCCCTGAAGGCGTGACTGAACAAAAACAGCTGAGATAACGATACGATAATCCTGCAGGAAGGTTACTTTTAGATAAGAGGGAGCTTGGGTGTCACTGAGGAACATCGACAATAGACCCACGAAGATGCAAATCTGTGGCATAACGCTGAGATTCGTGAAAAGAAAATTAAATCAATAATCGCACAACTGAGCCAATAAGGTACAAGATACAGAAAAGTTGGACCATAAAGCTCAAGCGACGCGTTTCATACAGCATATACTCTCAACGGAAACATGATGGAGCAGAAGGCATACTGACACAAAAAGCCAGTGGCCGGACAGCTGTGAAGCAAGGCACTTCGAGAACAAGCGCCAGTCAACAAGGGGTAAAGGGATCATTGTTGTTGTCAAGTACTAATAAAATTTCAGCAAGGGAATGACGGAGATTTCCACGTGACCCATATTTTCGCACAACAGCAGTTACAATGCGACTACTAACCGCGCTCGTCAGAATGAAACTTTACAAAGTGGTGAAGGGAGCATGTTCGAAGGGCCGAGTCTGCTTGCCGTATTATTCTGCATTGGTTTTGATACGGGGTCGAACACAGCGGTGGTTCGAAGTTGGATCTGACGACACAATCGTCGTGTCCGTTTAGTATCATGTGAGATGTTTCCATTGCAACTTCTCCAGTTCAACTTGGTCGCTGATACGCGGGGGCTGGAACAGATACATGGCAACTCTCCACGGGCGGTTACAATGTCTTGGCTTGCACTACTAATAGCGGCGTTTGTGATAACGGGTAGAGGCCAAACAATACTATTGGAGATTCACTTTAACGTAAGTCTCGGTCCGAATTGCAGTTGCGCTTCGCAACCCCTCCGCGCGACGGTTTGGTTTCGTTGTGCCTGCAGTTGCGAGTAATCCCGTTAAACCCAATTGCTGATCCGAAGTAAACAGGAATCCGTCAAATAAATATTTACAACACTACGAACCAACCAGCAGCTTCAAAATAAGGCGCAGAAGCCAACCCAGTCCGCTGTACGAGAGTGAGCAAAGCTATGTTTGGGACCATAGATAGGCCACACGGCCTCTGTTGGTACAAAGGTTGGATCGCAACGCTGAACTCATCACTGACTTAAAGGGCGTGTGTCATTTGGGAGCATATGACTTGGTCAGGGTTGATTCATCGATCACTGCGCTAGCAACTGAACCCATCGCAACCCAGTGTGTTCGGAGCGGAGCGGTTAACAGAAACAACCAATGCGGAGAACCCGAAACCACGCGTCGTGAATTCAACGCACATATAATACACACGAGCAATACTCACCTCAAATCGTTGGGACTCAGACCTTGTGCCACTAAACATTCAAAAAGGCTCAGAACTCGATTGTGCAGTGGTGAAGTGTCGGAGGCCAGCTGCGCCTCGAAAAGATGGAGCAGCTCACGGGGCATCGCCACAGAGCACATCACTTGCTGATTACGTTCCGACTGGAGCAGCTCACCAATCACATCCAATAGGCAATCCTGTGAAAGGAGTGGGGATACTTTAATAAATGTCACAAGGAGAAATGGATTAAAGGAAAACTCGTGGTTGCATAGCGGTGAAGAGGTATGGACGATGGAGAAGCAATGGTTGGAGCAAAGCATGAAGCGGAACACCACAAAAATAGCTTCTTGGGATCAGATATAAACAGCATGACCGTTGTGGACAAGCCATAAAATAAAAGGGTCTCATCCTGAGCCCAAGTAAGAGGACCTGTTGTGAGATGGTTCAATCAGTTTGTAGAGGTCAAATTTCACCTAGACTAATCGCATCTTCACACGCGTGACACGTCTATCTATCTGGGGGTCGCCACAATTTAGTGGTAACCATAACATATGGCACATTTGGTCACGTGTTATTAGAACAAATGAATTTCATTCCCATCAAGTGGCAGCGTAATCCATATGGATTTACATCGATCCCGAATTGACCCAATCAAGTGTCTTCTTACGCCCCCTGCACTGCACTGACCTTTACGCGCGCACACACACGCTGAGATCCAGACAAGGCGTCAAGTTGGATTCACCGACGGCTGAAACACTACGACCTCTGCAATCATTGACATGTGATACTCAAAAAGAATAGCAGGGATACAGGTAGCGATCTGGAGATAGTGAGGAATTGTTCGAGATTTGTTGGCTCCCAGTAAAGGCGATCAAGGGGACATAAATAGTAACACAGTATACAAGACATATCGCGGCTTGTGGTTTCACAGACAGGTGTGAATCCGCGCAGACCTAGAAGAAGAGGCATGGTGGATAGTTGACACTTTGTCGCGTTCTCACATTCCCCACGACCCCCGTCAGCTGATAAGCACTACCTTGTCTTTGGGAGACTGCAAAATACCAAACCCAGTAACGATAATTCGTCACAATGTTATTGTACACTATATTTTCTGTATGATTTTGTGACCGTATCGATGTTAGTTATTTTTCTATCCATCGTTGGTTTCAATCCTCCTGATTTACTAATGAGTAGGAGGATTTTAATTTTAAAGTTTTCGTCCCAGGGGCTCACAAGCTACATAGCACGGCCTAGCCCGGAAAAGCACCAGACGCGTTTCGCCCTAGTAGGGCTCTTCAATGGTGCGCATTCACTCGGTCCCCTACTGGGGACCGAACCCATGACCGCCAAAGGCAGATGTCAACTAGTCAACAGCTTAAACCACTGAGCCATGGGGAACGTCGGCCGGGATACATAATTTGCAAGCTAACTGGGATATAGCACGACCTATCTGCCACTGTCATGCAGGTTACTACCTTAGCAGATGACAGTGGCTAGCCGCCTGATTTAGTTTGAGTCTGTAATGTAGTTCCACGTAACAAACAACAAGCATCATGTAATTAAGTGAGGTTCTTCGCAGTCAGTTTCCAACTCACATAGTCGTCCACATGCCCGGAAAAGCACTAGACAGACGTTCCAACCTGTTGGGCATCATCAGTAGTGCGCATCCATCGGATACATCAGGATTCGAACCCATGACCACCAGCGGATTGAACCGCCAGTCAGCAGCTTATGCCACTGGGCCACGGGAGACAGCTTCGGACCGTCGTGATTTACAATCTAACTGCGATATAGCGCGTCTTATCCTCCACTGCCATGCAACAAGCATCATGGTTTTCCCAATTACAGGAATTGTAACCAATGGTATTTCAGAAAACAAGGTCACGTGTGATTGATCGGTGGCGCGCTTCGCGCTGCTACGGTAGAGTAGAGTTGTCCATGTAGTTGAGGTCGTCGCTCGATGAGGACATCGATAGAACGAAGTAGTGCATGTCCCAACGTGTTTATACAAATTCACTCGGCGCATTGAGTGAATTTCATACATCCGAACTGGCGCGCTAGTTTGGGCGAAAACGGGAGCTACCGTCAAATCAAGTAAAGGATGCGCGTTCATGCACACGGGAAGGATGAATTTTCAGTCGTAGCGCACATATCATCGATACGAATTGGCTGATTAAACTGAGTGGATATGGAAGCAGGGCTGTTGCAGCGGTTACGAGGCATTTAATGAACACTGGTCGCCATATCAACCCTAGTTCGGAACCAGACACCTTTGTTCGAACACTAAGGCACACACAATCGCAGACCACCTGAAACAGTAATTGTTGATCGACAGCGGTTAGCGATCCGCGTACAGATGCATATGGTGGTGGTGTTGAACTTGCCGTATCAAATGCATATCGACTGATCACCAATAGACCAAACATGGTTTTTTTCATTAATATTGGTTATATGTTTACAATTGAAGAGAATGCGTGAAATTAGTGGAGAGCCACACAGCTTGAAAATGAAGTGGGGCTAGGCATCAAAATTTCTGTCGGTAGTTACCATTATGAGCAGTAAAATCCGTGGCCGATACACCAACCCGAGCTGAAGCAACGAAGTCCGGATGCGTTGCATTAATTCATGACCAGTAGTGGTTGCGCGTTTATTCTGAGACAGACGGGTAATATGTGTGCGAACGAATAAAAACCCAGTGTAAGGGAAGTATGAGGAGCTCAGTTTCGATGGGACCAGCTCCGGTCGAAACGATAGTGGCTGTGGAAACCAAGTGCGCTTGAACAACGCAATCACTGAGCCGCAAGGTAGAGATCGCGGGGGGTGCGGAATTGTGGTAGTAGACAAGTTAATGAAAACCGACAGCAAAACCAGTTCATAAAACAAGAACAGAGTGGATGACCACGAATGAGTGCATTCCAGAGGATGACGAGGTCCGCATCAGGCGATTGTGCCCGAGACAACAGGAAGAGAGTTAAAGATGGTGTCTTGTGGGCGGATGACACTCTCCAGTTATCCATTCAGAGAGCGTTCTATGGCTAAAGTATTCTAGCCTAACGTTTGACTCAACAAGTAAGTCAACACTGCAACGTACAAATCAGTGAAGGTTTAGGGACCGATCTGTGGCTGGTTAGACTAAGCATATCAAACAAAGGACCCCTCAATGGCCTCACGAGTCACAATTGTCGTCATGAGGGCCACACATGACAATAAAGTTTTAATATATATATATATATATATATATATATATATATATATATATATATATATATTACAGTATTGTGCAGGCCACAGACGCGCTTATTAAGGGCCGATTGTTTGACAAGCCTGTGTTAAACAAAGTGCACGCGCGCGGTCAGGGGCGTGCTTGAGTTAGCCAGTTAACGATGAGTTCTACTTGATAGTACTAACTTTCTCTAACACCTATATTTCCATTCAGTTCAGGAATTCAAGTACCTGGGCAGCTATATTAGCACCTGTGGGATTGAAGATGAGGTTACGAACCGTATAGCAAAAGCTCGAAGTGCTTTTGCCAATCTCCGCCACCTGTGGCGCAGACGCGACATTACTCTCGCCCTGAAGGGCAGAGTTCACAACGCAGCCGTCCGTTCAACTCTCTTATATGGCTGTGAAACCTGGCCCATCAGGTCCACAGACATAAAGAGGCTCGTCATATTCGATCATCGTTGCCTTCGCAGCTTAGCTCATGTCTGGTGGGAGCACCGCGTGAGCAATGAGCGTGTACGACGTCACATATTTGGTGCAGGAAGAGCAAGTGAACCGCTCAGCACCATTATATCACGCACCAAGCTCCGATGGTTGGGCCACTTGTTGCGCATGCCAGCACACCGACTCCCGCGACGTGCATTGTTTGCGCGTTGTTGGTACGGTTGGAATAGGAGGAGGGGAGGCCAACTGATGACTTGGTCGAGAGAGATGAAAACCCTCACTTCGAAGTTGGCGTCTGTTGGTGAGTCCCGACTGCCTGGCTGGGTTGCTAAGGACGGTGAACACGTTTGGTTGGACACACTCGCTGATATGGCTTGGAGCCGACCCCAATGGCGTTGGTATTGTGAGTTTCGTTGTCCATCCCCCTCCTGCTTAGCATCCCCGTCCAATCATGATCTTACCTGATAGGTATAAAATGACTCGCTTTTGTGGCAGCCAGCTGTTAGCTCTTCGGAATGAAGTCCATCCGTTACTGGGAACTCAGCCGGCGTGCCACTGTTTGTTTTCCTTTTCTTATCTTTTGTATTGCGGCACAATAGCTGAGGTGTTTTCCACCTCCAGCTAACGTGTAATGATGATGATGATGATGATGATTACCATATAGGGCGCCGAAAACCCCCTGGTGGTGTTAAGTTAGCCAAGTATCCACAAAACAGTGATATGCGTGCAGCTATAGGACGGACCGAATTGTACTACGATTAGTTACGCTTACGTGTAGAAAAGCCACAGTTACAGGGGTTTGGCAAAGAACAGGAACTCGCATTGCCCCGCGAAACTTGAGCAGAGGTTGCCGCAATGTATCATAACCGAGCCGTTCTCAAGAGTGAGGTTTTCAAGTACGTTAACTGCGCAAACTACAATTAAGCTCTGTGATGGGAGTATACACTCGAACGAACTTGCGGTGTCAGCCCAGCAAGGAAGCCGTTAGGCTGCCGCAAGGAAAGGCGGCAGCTGATTGGACGTTCACACGTTTCTCGCATGCACGCTGATTGGCCAACAGCTGGAGTTTGTTTGACTGAATCAAAGGAAAAATGTCATGCATCAACAAAGGTCGTTAAGTATGGATCCAACTAGCTGTATATACCGATATGTTTCACTCGCCCGATGCCTGTGTTTTCGCCTGGTCCCTTTGTTTGCAGAATATACGTTTTGTCCCTGAAGGACCGACTTTTTACATGGTGTCAGAGAAGGAGAAGAACATTAGTACCACCCAGACGATGATGGGAGCTGCACCGGCTATTCAAATGCCTGCCCCGCTGAACATGAATGAACGCAGTTTGGCAAGCAACTGGCGTTTTTGGAAGAGCAAATGGATTGATTTCTGCATTTTATCGCGTCTGGACAAACAACCGATGGCGTACCGCTTGGCCATGTTTCGACACGCAGCAGGAGATGATGCGCGTCACGTGCTAGAGACATTGTGTTACGACAAGACCGAAGATGCCAACAATCTGGAGACAGTTCTTGAGAA